AATATAACTTCTGAACAATAATTTAATGTCTATCACCTCTTGCTAAAGAGTGAATGAGAAACTACTCACTCTTCATAGCTTTGAGGAAGCTAGAAAAGTGAGTGAATCTCATCCCTCAAAGTAGAGGAACTTATAATTACAAGTTAAAGATTTCCAAAATGATGTGCTTATCTCCGACAAAGAATGAGTGAAACACTACCAACTCTTTAAAGCCACAAGAGAGCTAGAAAGGTGAGAGATGTTCACTCCTCTAAATGAAGGAGAAAGCTTTACAATGGAAGCTAATGAAACTAAAAGTAGAAGAAAACTAGTTACTTTTGGAGGGTTATTTCCACTTCCAAAAGAGGTATATTTTTAAGCAATTGCCAAGGGGTGGTATTTATAGGCAAAGGAGGAAGATAAAGGATAGCCTTATGTACATAAAGTCCAAACCTATGCCAGAAAATCCGGATGGAAATCCAGTCTGCATTAATTTTGTCTTGGATTGGCGTTTGAACGTCATTCATTTCCTCTCTGAAGTGCGTTAGAACACTATTGGAGTTTGAACGTGGTCATTAATATAGCCTCAACACCAACAATTAGTGGCCATGTGTTAGCCCCCTAGCAGTCCCTTGGAGATCCTGTCTGATTTCAATGTTGCATTCAAACATGGAATTGATGTTCAAACTTCAAGGCAAATTCAACTTTGTCAGGCAACTTGTTTCTCCCTTGAGTTCTCTTTGTTTGCTTCAAAACACATGTGTGTTGCATGGAAATGTGACATTATTGCCTGTATAGCCTTTGTATTTCATTTATCCTGAAATATCATTATTTGAACACAATTAAAGAATAATCAATCTTATAAAGGCATAATAAAATGTAACTTTTAACTGTGAATCATATGTTAAGTCTCTTGTGAGATTTCTATGAGAGAAAATTATCTTTCTACCTTGAGAACTTCCACAACAACCTAGATCCCTAAGACCCAAAAGGCTACCACTAGAGATTCTACCCAACCTAAAAAATTAGAGAAGAAGATCTGNAACTTCCACAACAACCTAGATCCCTAAGACCCAAAAGGCTACCACTAGAGATTCTACCCAACCTAAAAAATTAGAGAAGAAGATCTGGATGGTTTGATAAACCCATTTGTGTATATATACCAAGGATCGCTGGTGTGCCCATAATTGTTTGAGGCCTAGATGAACTATGTGGTAAGGAGGTCCAGGTGAAGCTACACTAGACATCAAAGGAGGGCCTTTAGTGGAGAGACAACAAGAAAATGAGCATCTAACCATAGTATTGGTTGAGGTGTAAGACTCCAGTACTTGTATGTTGACTTAGCGAGTAGTGGATTATGCTTTGGTGAATCGAGAAGGTTCCTTACTGATTCTTCATGTAATTTACCATTTATTTATCTCTGTGTTATGAAGAATTGCACTTATTTTGAATTAAATATTGTTTAATACTTAGATTTCATGCTATGATGGTATTTTATGGTCTAAGTGATATATAAGGTAAAATAGGGGAATTGAGCTAATTTCGAATTGGTAATAAATTGCTTGGATGATTTGAAGATAACATGGAAATCAAGGGGAGTTAAGTGGAATTATAGTGGTCAAACTGGTGACCAGAGGAGGGCCCCAACTGCATATCATAGTCTTCTAGACGCAACTTCTCCATCCAGACACAAGTAGACTATTCAAAGTCCTGAGAAAATGGCTAGGTATAAAAATGATACGTAGATAGTCCATCCAGATGCAATCACTTCATTTGGACGCAGTCGATGAGAAGCCAATTCCAGAGGATTCAAGGTGTTTGGACACAGTTTTGCATTCGAACATTCATTTGATGATATGGTGCACTTTTATCTGAATGGATAAGATTGTCTAGACTCTACATAGTTGATCGAGTAAATAGTCAAGATTATGAAGACCTCCGTCCAGATGCAGTCACTCCATTCGAATGCGCGTAGCTTAACTGGCGTCGTGCTTATTTATGCTAGGATAGGGGTGTCAATTGTGTCGTGTCGTATCATTTTTGTGTCATGTCACTTTCAATCGTGTTATTTTTGTGTCGTATCACTTTCGGTACGTGTCGGGTTCATGTCAATATTCGTGTTAATAAAAAATTATTTAATTTGACAACAACTAATATAATACTATTTAAAAAATTATAAAATTCTTATTTTCTATCTACAATACTCGTTAAATAATTATTTTCTATTTATAGTACCCATTAATCGTGTTATTCGTGCTGAACCTTAATTTGACCCATTTATTACTCGTGTCAACTAATTGTGTTATTTTCGGGTTCGTGTCAGATTCGGTTCGAGTTTAATTCTTGTTAACGGAAAAAATTGACACCCCTACCCTAGGAGGTTCTTTTTATGTATTTTGGAGTTAATTTTGGTAATGGGAGGATTGAGTATAAATAGATAGGTTCAACCAGAGAAATGGGAGAGTCTTTTCTATCAAACAAAACTCTATGTAGGAGTCTTCTCTTCTCGTGGCTGATTCTGAGTAATTCCTTTGTACTTTCTAGCTAGGGATTTAGTTTTTTGAATTTATGAAAATTATTTTATGAATGCAATCATTAAATGACAAATGTTTTTATAGATTTATTATTCTTCACATATAGATTGAAAGAATGATTTTGGTAAAGGGTTGTGCTCTGTAAAATGGTACAATTATTCCCTAGGTTAATTCCTTTCCAGGAATAATTGTAAGATTCCTTGCGAGTTCACAAACCTAGTTCTTTTTTGATTATTTTTTGATTCAATCGACTTATATTTTTCAAAGTAAAATTTTCCGCTTGACTACACTGACGGTGAAAATCTAAGAAAATACTTGGTTGCATTAATTTGAGAATTGTTATGCATGAATAATTCCTATTTTGATGCTAGAAAGTATATTTTATCCCATTAAATTCATCTTAATTTGGTATACATTTCTCAATAGACTACCCTTTTCACTTTAAAGTTCTTTCTTTTACCTATTTTTCTACCATTTATGATTTCCTGTGGATCGACCTCGGTCTCACCGAGTATTTACTACTTTTTGACCACCTGCACTTGGGTGTGCCCATTTGGGATTCAAGCACCCACGATTTTTTTCGAGGAGGGTTTCCCCTTCAACAAATCATTTGTGTTATTTATTGTTTATTTTATACACTTGTAATTTTTTGCACACATGCGCACTATGTATTTTTTGATTTGATTATCCATTCAACCATAGTTGTTAAAATTGGGTTTGAGGTTTTTGGGATCGCCATAACACTGATTGTTGAGGGAATTAATTATTCAATTAATTTAATCAATCATCATGGTGAAAATGGGTTATGACTACTTAAGGGGTTCTCACATTAATTGCTATATCTTTATGAGATGACGTAGTTGTGGCGGGTTAGATTTTAATTAGTAATCAATTGGGATTGAATTGAAAAATCTATTCACCACTCTCTAGGTAAAGTGTCTATTGCTCCATGTGTATAATCCTGAGGCAAGATCCACATTAGGTTTTCCCTCATGGAACAACAATTGGTATCAAAGCGTGGTTACTCTAAGATCATAGACACTAGGTGCTTTTAGTTTTTGCTTACATGTCTAGTTGTTTGCCTTCAAGAGATCTATCATTACTACTAGTTAGTCTTGAATGGATTCTCAAAAGGAAGGTGGTTCAATTGCACGACCTCCTCTCATTGATGGTTCTAACTTTGCTTATTGAAAAGCTCGCATGATAGTGTTTCTAAAATCAATTGATGAGAGAGTTTGGTTGACTATGCAAAAAGGTTGGAGCCCTCCCACTGCCACCACACAAGTCAAATGTGGTGAAACAGTGGTTGGATTGAAATCCCTAATGACTTGGTCAAGAAACGAGATCAAATTGGCTAGATGGAACTCAAAATGCTTAAATGCCATATTCAATGGCGTGACATCCAATGAGTTTCGAAGGATCACAAATTGCGAGGCTTCAAAGGAGGCATGAGATATTTTTATGGTTTCATCTGAAGGAACTACAATGGTCAAGATGTCCTGACTCCAAATGTACAACTCACTATTTGAGATGTTGAGGATGCAAGGGGAAGAAACTTTTGACGAATTATGGCAAATTATGTGATATTGTTAATTCTTCCTTTCCATTAGGTTCCAAGATTGTTGATGGCACCATTAAGTGGAAAATCTTGAGATCTCTATCAGAGATATTTCATAAAGAGGTGATCTTGCTTGAGACAAGTGTAAACATGGTCACGTATCAGTCGAAGACCTAGTAGAGTTGATTTTTACTTTCTAGATGAACCTTCTTCCATCCAAGAAAGTGAAGGGTATAGCATTAAACTCTAAAATTAAAGAAGGGGCTAAATTTGAGTCACCCCAGTTGGCAGAAGAGGACATAGCCTATCTTGTGAGAAAATTCAACAAATATTTTAAGGCTAGTGGTGTCAAGTCCTCAAGGTCAAAAGGAAATCCAAGTAGACCCAATTCTCATAGAAAGGGAAAAAAGAATGGGGGTAAACCTTCTTGACATAAGGTTGAGAAAAAGGGGCATGGCCTCCANGAAATCCAAGTAGACCCAATTCTCATAGAAAGGGAAAAAAGAATGGGGGTAAACCTTCTTGACATAAGGTTGAGAAAAAGGGGCATGGCCTCCACTTCTATGAGTTTCATAGGTTTGGACATATAGCTGTGATATGTCCTAATGAGAAAATGAAGGACATGCCCAGGGATAGGAGAAGATGCTCAAAGGCTAAGGTAAGTGAAAGCGAAAGTGAGTCCACAATGAGTGTTGACTTCTCTTCTTCAAGTGATGAAAAGAAATTCNGGAGAAGATGCTCAAAGGCTAAGGTAAGTGAAAGCGAAAGTGAGTTCACAATGAGTGTTGACTTCTCTTCTTCAAGTGATGAAAAGAAATTCAAAGCCTTTGTAGGTTTATATTCCTCTCCCCATGGAAAACTTCTAAAGAAGAAGAAAATTAAGTTGAGTCGAGTCCCACTATAGGTTGTCGATGACTTAATAATGGAAGTCTCCACTAGTGAAGGATGAGACTGAGAATGCTGAGGACCCCCAACATGCTTATAATGAGTTATATAACGAGTGTCTAAAACAAGGAGAGAAGTTTCTTTTATTGAGCATGAGTCTCAAAATTAATGAAGATGAGAAGAAGGCACTTCATGTGGACTTAGTTAAGTCTAAGGCTCATATTGTTGGGCTTGAGGAGGAGAAGAAGTCCCTTCATGACAGGGTGAGATTTCTTGAGAGAGAGCACAATGGGCTTTTAGAGTCTAAGAAAGGTCTTGCTTTTAAACTTATCAAACTTGATAGAGACCTACATGAATCACAAGAGCTCTCAAAAGACTTTCCCAAACCACCAAAAAAGCTTGACAGAATGTTGGCTATAGGGAAAAGTGTCGGTGACAAGAGAGGATTAGGATTCACTAATGAACATAACACCTTTACTTTTTTCAAATGTCTCGATAGGGAAGGACGTATACTATCCATCATTTGTCCAAGCAAGCCATTGCCAATTAATTTTACTAANTAGAGACCTACATGAATCACAAGAGCTCTCAAAAGACTTTCCCAAACCACCAAAAAACTTGACAGAATGTTGGCTATAGGGAAAAGTGTCGGTGACAAGAGAGGATTAGGATTCACTAATGAACATAACACCTTCACTTTTTTCAAATGTCTCGATAGGGAAGGACGTATACTATCCATCATTTGTCCAAGCAGGCCATTGCCAATTAATTTTACTAACTAGCCACTGTACTATGACAAGTAAAATTAAATAATTGACTTAGCTTTAATCCTATAAACAACAACAGTGTGACACCCCTAAAATTGGGGGTCCCGTTGACCATTCGTCAACCTGCGAAAATACCCGTGAATTTCGCATGGCTCGACATCACATCTATCACATCCCTGTAACCGAGATCATAACCTACACGTATAACCCATGTTCCTTTAATCATTTAATTCAATGGAGGTCCAATATGTCTCAATATACCTCAATTAATGTCCATTTGTATCNAGTGTGACACCCCTAAAATTGGGGGTCCCGTTGACCATTCGTCAACCTGCGAAAATACCCGTGAATTTCGCATGGCTCGACATCACATCTATCACATCCCTGTAACCGGGATCATAACCTACAAGTATAACCCATGTTCCTTTAATCATTTAATTCAATGGAGGTCCAATATGTCTCAATATACCTCAATTAATGTCCATTTGTATAATTGGAACTAAAGAAAGTAAAGTTCAAAAGGCTAACAAAACAATTTTTGATTTTTTAAAATTTTTGGAAGAGCTACCGGTAGTTCTTTGTTATAACTACTGGTAGAAGTTCTACCTGTAAGCTACCGGTAGCTTTTTCCTACTGAACAGGTACTACCTGTTAGCTACCAGTAGTTGTTGCCTGCTGTACAGGTACTACCTATTAGCTATCGGTAGTTGTTGCCTGTCNTAGCTTTTTCCTACTGAACAGGTACTACCTGTTAGCTACCGGTAGTTGTTGCCTGCTGTACAGGTACTACCTATTAGCTATCGGTAGTTGTTGCCTGTCGAACAGGTACTACCTGTTAACTACCGGTAGTTATTGCCTGCTACCGATAGGTTTTGTCTATAATTTCATATTTCATCAATTTTTGATTTCCAATTCAATCAAAACCCTTCCAAATTCATCCCAAACATGTATAAAGGTATTTTCTACAATATACATGATTCATACAAGTCTATTACAACTCATTCCATAAGATTTACATGTCAAAATGGAACTAAACCAAAATTTTTACAAAACTTCATAACAAAAGCCACATTCTGGCTTTTCTTCATCTTTGAGGCCCCGAATGTGAGTCCTCCACCGGTACGAGCCCCGCACCTGAAATGTATTCCTGTATAGGGTGAGGCAACNCAACTCATTCCATAAGATTTACATGTCAAAATGGAACTAAACCAAAATTTTTACAAAACTTCATAACAAAAGCCACATTCTGGCTTTTCTTCATCTTTGAGGCCCCGAATGTGAGTCCTCCACCGGTACGAGCCCCGCACCTGAAATGTATTCTTGTATAGGGTGAGACAACGCCCAGTAGAGTATTTCCTACAAGGGCTACTCCTCAACCTAAGTGCATATGCGATGTATTATGCAACAAAACATAACCAAAATCCATTCCAATCAACACTTAAGCAAGTCAAGATCGAAATCTAACATACCATGCCATGAAATGAGGTGATGCTCATTCATGTAATTTACCCGAGCCCTTCCCGGCTCCACAACACATGCCATGCCAATGTGTATTAACACCAAGCTCCTCTAGCTCCAGCTATATACCTTCACCCTATGCTATGTAGTGAGTATCAAAACCGGGCTCTCCAAGCCCCCCACCATTTGTGTTACACATCCAATGGCTAAATAAAATCTTTGGGTCTTTCTTGGGGTGGGTATTTATGGACTTACACCAATAGTCACCCAACCGACACAGAATTCATGGACTTCCACCAATGGTTCTGCGTACACCGACACACTTTATGGGCTCTTATACCAACGAAAGTGCGTATTCAAATACCGTGTCTCTCACCTGAGGGATAGTCCAACCCTTCTTTCTACCCCGACCCAAGGATTTTTCATGCAATCGTGCGACTTATTCGGACATTCAATCCAAATTTTCCGAGCCCACCTATTATCCACCTATGTGTTATTTGATGCCAACCATGCACCCACGNGTGCGTATTCAAATACCGTGTCTCTCACCTGAGGGATAGTCCAACCCTTCTTTCTACCCCGACCCAAGTCTTTTTCATGCAATCGTGCGACTTAGTCGGACATTCAATCCAAATTTTTTGAGCCCACCTATTATCCACCTATGTGTTATTTGATGCCAACCATGCACCCACGCCCATAAAATGCGATGTCTACGTGCATACGCAATGTAATGCATCATTACTATTCCAACATCATGCCCACATATAATGAATGTCATATAAGCAATTTTAAACCACATGTCTACATGTTCCATGGAGATTCATATCATATGCATATAAATTCCATAAATCCTCACAATGTCAATATCTCAATGAGCACATATTAACATTTCTTTCCAACACATTTTCTAAGCATGTTATACATCATCATGTCATAACAACTTAATCCACACATAGGCATTTTCGCAAACACCTTCAAGGCAACAATTCATATTTTCATATAAGAATTTCCACCTCATTCACAAAGCATAATATAAGACATATAACATGCCCTCATAACACCCATTTTCCATAGAATTACACAATCATTGCAACCCACCAATTCCAATCTAGGACTTTTACTTAATTTGGGTCAATTTCACATACCCAATTCACCAATCACCCAATTCCATCCATCCATTTCACAACCATAGACAAGTGATATAAGTAGCTATTCATCTACCCATTACATATAACACCCTAGGTTGAAGCGTAAACCAACTTGGTAGAAGTCCTCAAGACTCAAATTCTCGCCCCAAGCCCTTGATTCCACCAAGCTTGGTTTTGAAACTTCGGTGAAATCCCTCATTTTTGGTGTGGTCGTGTAGCCCTCAACGAGGAGATTGACTTTTGTTCTTGCCCCGAGTGGATTTGAGCACCGTAGCCTCCTAGATCGTAGAGAGAAGGTGGAGAACTTCTCTTCCTTCCTGCTCCTCTTTCCTCATGTTAAATTGGCTGAAGAATGGGGGAAAAATCTTATTTTCNAGCTTGGTTTTGAAACTTCGGTGAAATCCCTCATTTTTGGTGTGGTCGTGTAGCCCTCAACGAGGAGATTGACTTTTGTTCTTGCCCCGAGTGGATTTGAGCACCGTAGCCTCCTAGATCGTAGAGAGAAGGTGGAGAACTTCTCTTCCTTCCCGCTCCTCTTTCCTCATGTTAAACTGGCTGAAGAATGGGGGAAAAATCTTATTTTCCCCCCTATTTATACCCTTCATTTACTTGGTTCACATTGTGCCACACAACCTCTTTTTCATGGGTCCGTTTTCATCCCGAAACGATTTAATTTTGATCCGGTTCAAGTTCAAAATATTTTTATTTTAACTTGTCTTAAATTATGTTCCAAATTTTGAAATTTTATCAAAAATTCCATTTTTAGGTCATCCGAGACTCGACTGCCTCGTAAAATGTAAAAAATCTAACTATCTCAGAATTCGATAAAATTTGACATGGTAACTAAATTTTGTGAGATGAATCCAATGGTGAGGTCTGTTTAGTCATCCGAGATCTAGAAAAATTTAAGTTTTCAACCTGTATTGTATTGGCAAAATTACCGTTTTGCCCTTATTTACAAAAGTTTAAATTTACTAGGTTTTAGAAACAGTGACTCAGATAGAGAGGATACTATTATTTATAGCTAGGTGTATATCATTACTTAATTTTGTGTCAATAGTTTCATAATGAGACCCCTTCAGATGAAGAAGTGAGCTCATATTAGCAATTACCCAAAATTATCCCTTTAGGAAGTTTGTACCGGTGATTCTATAATTAATTTCATCCGATAGAGAGGAAGGCATTAAAGCCAACACACAAAATTAATTACATCACCTAGAAACCAGTAATGAAGACCATGAGATTTATACAAAATAAATTTCCTCTCCCACTTAGTTATTTAATTCTTTGTGAGGGTTTTCAAAAAANATTTATACAAAATAAATTTCCTCTCCCACTTAGTTATTTAATTCTTTGTGAGGGTTTTCAAAAAATAAATATCCAATTTGTATTGACTTAAAATATAAGGATGTTTGTCATTTTTATAAAGATATCCGGGTTACCCTATCTTTATATGTAGTANATTGACTTAAAATATAAGGATGTTTGTCATTTTTATAAAGATATCCGGGTTACCCTATCTTTATATGTAGTGTGTATAATAAATAAAATTTCAAATCCTCACAACTATATTTTTTAAATTAGGGGATTTAATTTTATTTTCTACTTACATATACATTCTTTGAACCTCCGTATTTTAAATCAATATAATTAAATATTAATCCATGACAAAAAAATCTAAGGTAGGTTAATCATCCATGTTGTCCATATATCAGGGTATTGTTATACAAATTAACTATCCACATAATCAGAACATGAATAAAACATAGAGATCAACATAAATAAGGAGGCTGAATAAAATAAGGACTCCTAGCTATTATGGTCATGTCGTTAGTTTCAATCGAACAAGGACTCTCCTGCAATCTGAGATGATCCCAGCTACGTCTCAAC